CAGGGAAAGAGTATTATTTACAAACCAGACTGAATGCAACAGCAGCAGTGGCTGTAGCTGCATGGTGTAATTTACGTCAGAGGAGAAAACATCATCTGCAGACCAGTTATTACAGAATGGGAGGGTATTCGTTATGGTACAGCACTGAAGAATGACTTTGAAGCTGAGTGCTATAGAGGTACAGGGTATTATTTATACACCAAACACCACAGAAACTATTTTTCTGGGGTAAGGAACAGTGACAGTTCATCATTTATGTGAAAGCCATCCTGTAATTTCCAATATGTGAACTACGTGGTTATCTCAACCTTGAAGCCGTGGTGCAGATGATGTAACGTTAATTACACTTAGATCTACAGATGCTGTGCCACAGGACCCCTAAGCAAGAGTACTCTTCTGAAGTCAATAGATATGTGCCAGCAAAACTGCTGGATATGCCCCTGCCCTGTACAAAGCCTGCAGTGCCTGGGGATTTCCAGGGTTGTGGAGAGTGTTTATCCCTGACCCTGTGCAGGATCCCAGCAGGAGAAGCAGGGTTTTGCTGCGGATTACAGGCTATTCAATCACCAGCACGGGGGCTGGAGGTGTGAATGATGGATGGGAGCTCCAGCTGGAAGGGATCAGCACCGTCATTTTCACCTGCTTATCAGCTTCTGACCTCTGCATTCCCTTTATACACCTTTTCCTCCATCCAGTCTTCGATCTGACCTCAGTCAGATGTTCATTGGTTATTTCTTGTTGGTTTTCCCTATGGTTTTATATTTCAACCCTGTCAAATTATTCCTACTTACATTTCTCACCCATTAAGGCAAATCTGTATCTCCTGCAGCCTTCACAGACAATTCCTTCTGTCCTTCAGGGGCTTTCTACACTGCTGATAAAGAAGTGCCCAAGTCCTCTACCGAGTGCTAAGCAAGGGCATTGGAGAAGCCAAAGGCACATGGAAACTGCCAGACCAGATGAAACCAATGGTGTGTTCAGGCCAGGATCCTGTCTTGGACAAGACCTCTATCACCAGCTTCAGAGCAAAGTTCTCATCATCAAAAAATAGGGAATAAATTGCTGAGGAGGAAGTTTCTTTTAACACTAGGCATTTAGTGGTTACCTTATGCCTCGAAGCATGAGTATTTACATTCCATATTCTCCCGCTAATGTAAGCTAGGTTTATTGGGCATGGCTTAATAGACAGCTTTACTCCTCTCAGGCCTAACCGATGAGCGCTACCCTGCCAAGGAGACATTTCCTGCCTGATCACTTCATCCCTATGATAAGACATGGTTTCTCTTGCAGATGCCCTTTTGTCTTGTGTTGCCTGATATGGCCTCTGTTGAAGCAAGTGCCTTTCCTCGTATTCAAGATTCATCCAGTGCCTCACTGTCATAGCAAGTACCTTTACCAGGTTAACCCACACAGACCTGCCTCTCCTGGGACATCTCATCACCCAAGTTCTTCACACCAATCAATGCTTATTTCCATCGTAAGCCTCCACACTCTCAGGACACAGTGGCAACCTGGGGGGAACCGAGAAGCAGGGTAGGATGCTTCACCTGAGTTAATTCTGCCAAAGTTCCCTGTACTTCAACCAACTCATGTTGCACTGGGCTGGGTAGAAAAGCCATGAGCTGCCATGCCTTGGTTGATGAAGAGCAATGACAATTGTGAACACCCACAAGATTATGCTTGTCAGAGGGTCCTCCACATCTCTGCTTTCATCTCTTGCTCCCTTCTCAGCAGAGTCCTTATTGTGGCCTCTGCTCTGTCCTCCCCTCCAGCTCCTAAGCACAGCCAGGTTTCCTCCTCAGCCAGCCTCACAGGCAAAGTCAGCTCCCAGGCTACTTCCACGGAGCTTAAGCAGCAGGAGCCTGATGGCTTCTGGACTTAGTTGCTCAACTTGCATCATCTCCCTTGTCCTCGCTTGGTCACAGGGGCTGTGACACAGTTCCAGCTGCCTCCATCAATGGGTTGAAGCCATCAGGAGCATTAGATCACTGAAGCCGATTGCACAGTGGTTGAGCTTGCAAAGCAAGGGAAGGAAATTGGAGCAAGGCATTCCATAGGCTGCTACTTAGCACCTTGGGGCATTTCAACAGCTAAAACACTTGGAGGCTCTTGGGGTACCCAAGCCAGACGATTTTGGTATTCCTCACCCTCCCCTCCACCTTCTGCTCTGTATGGAGCAACATCAGGGAGGGTGAACATCATGCAAAAGAGAAATGGAAATTTCCCTTAAAAAGGGTAAACCCAACAAAAAGCACAGGGAATTAAAAAAAAAAATAAATAAATCTCAGCGTCCCAAAAAAGGCTGCGCGGGGAGCACGACAAACCCCTGCCTATTCATCAGCCCAACAAAAAGCTTCTTTAGATTTATACTGTGAGCCCATTGAGAGGGAGGGGAGGCAGCGCTCACACACCCGCCCTTGTGCACACAGGCAGAGCCCGCAGACCTGCCCCGCGCACACAGGCTGAGCTGTTCTGCCCTCTCACAAGGAAGCACTGAGTTTTTAAAAGTAAACTGTAAGGTTTCCGTTGTTGCACTGGGCTCAAGGGTTTCTTAGGGTGGTTTTTTTTAAGCCTATAACAGCTCCCTCTCTTTGCTGTGTCTCTTCTCTTTCACTCTTTAAACAGCCCCGGCTGCTCTGGGCTGCGCGGCAGCCGTCGAGCGCTGGCTCCGTATGTGGTCCAGCCCCGCTATGAACACGGCTTTTGTTGCTGCTGCTGGGAAGCTGCCTGAGAGCGGCACACACAGCCCGGCTTGTTTCACACGTGGAGGCTGCAGCGGGATCGAGGGGGTGGAAAGGAGGAGGAGGAGGAGGAGGAGGAAGAGAGCAGCTTGGGGAAAGCTGTCCTGTGGTGAAGCAGACGTCCCACTACTGGCGAGGGAAAGGGGGATGCGAGGAGACAGAGAAGGGTGGAAAAGATGTCTCAGGCAGCTAAGAAAGGTCCCGTTGATTTTTACAGAGGGACCAGTTGGCCCTACACCAGCTCACTGTAAGTCAGGCAATGAAGTCACTGGATGTGAGCAACTTATGTCTGCCCCAGAGAGAGGAAAGGAGAGAAAATACCAATAATGGAGTGGATTTTGGAAGCCCCATGGTTTCTGACTATCATCTGCATCCCTGGGTGATACCAGAGCATTGAAGGACAATCTGGTCTCTCTTTTCATTTACACATTCATTCATTCATTTCTGCCTTTTAAGTGATACCATTCATCCTCTTCTCCTCTAAACCCCTTAGTGTTCCTCACTAATTAAGTAGTATTTTACAGTGATGAGCTGCTATTTGCTCTGGCATCTCTAAGTCTGTGGAGCTTCATTTAATGTGCTCTTTTCCTTAGTAGGTTTTTCCCCTCTGTTTCTTTCACTCCTCAATTTCCTATCTTGTTGGCTCTCTTTGCCCATCCATCCTCCAGCCCTTGCGCTGCTGTCAAACCCTGCTACTGTAAACGGAGGCGATTATAGGAAACATTAAACAGCATTTCAAGTGGAACAGATGGAGTTTTTCCCCCTCTAGACCATACAGGCTGCTGAGAGCCCTCAGCCAGGACAGGTACATCTCCAGCCCTCACCTCTTACCCAGCCACGGTGGGAGGTGATGCCTTCCCCTTTCTATACCAACAGCAACATGAAACATCTCAGAAAGGGGCAACATGTCCCCTTTAACTTATCAGGTGGATGCAGTCTCTTGAAACCAGCAGGAAAATATAACGTCAAACAACCAAAGCAAAGAAACAAGTAGTTCAGCTTCCAAAAACACATGGGATCTGAAAAACCACCCTACTCAGCCCCTGAACCTCAGCCCCTCTGCCCGTCCAGCATCCTGAGCTTATAGAAGAAAACCAAAGTAGTGAGGAATGCTAAAAAATTCTGCTCTCCCAACTATTCTGCTGTGGGATGTTCCCCCCCTTTCCACATCTGGCAAAGTTATTTTAGAAAGCTAGGAAAGCTTTTCAGACTGAAGTTTTTTTGGCCAGACCGTTCAAAAGGGAAAGGTTAGAATGCATCGCTTTCTGCTACGTGTCGAGGGCTATTTGGAACGAGGTTTAAACGAAAAGTCTTAAAAGTAGTAGATTAATGGAACAATGAAATTTCTGGTAAAGATTCCCAAAATCACAGCCTTTTTTGCTGTGTCCACTTCTGCAGAAAAGCTCAGCTCCCTGAAAACCACTGCTAAAAATATGCTTCATCTGCAAATAGCTTCGGAAAGAGGGCAGGTACTGAGTAACGCCTGAAGCAGCTAACTGGAACTAACCCAGGGGACTCTGCCAGCCACCAGTCCCTGCCATCCCCATGCAAGGGGAGCGCGGTCAAACCCTCCAGCATCCAGGCTCTTTTCATTCTCTTTTGAACTTCTCAGCCCCTACAGAGCTTAACACCCCTCTAGCTCAGAGATCACCCTATAGCAAAGCAATGGCACTGATCAAAGCAATAACCATCAAAAACCCCACAGCCATTTAGGACACTTGCAACAAGTCATTCGCCTCCTTCCCCAGTGCTCAGAAGCAGGATCAGACACATCACCAGGGCTCGAGCGGGAGCTGAAATCCATCACAAAGAAACACCAGCTGGTTGGAGGGTCTTTCGGGGAGGGATAACCTGGATAATGCTGTCTTTGCTCTCCCACCTCGTGGTTTCGGCTATAGGAATCTCTCAAGCTTATGGCTGGCTTTTCTTCCTTTCCCCAAGCCAACTAACAAACTTGACACACAGTCGTTGCCTCCTACTACCGGTTTGCTCCCTGTAACGGACGGGTTGTTGGTGAGGACCATTGCAGAAGCACTCCAGGCACAGGCTCCCTACTCACAACGTGCTGCTTGTGGAAGGGAAACTCCGTGGAGAAGCGCGGACTCAATCAGTTTACAACTTCGCTCACATTTCCCTCACCAGGGAAACAACCAATCCACTGACTGAGAGCTCGCATCCTCAGAGCACTGAGGAAAGGCACAGGGAAGTTGAGTAAAAAGATACCGAAGGGAGAGGAGGGAGAAAAGTGCAACACCTTACCTTTAACAGTTCAGTGCAGTGCTTCCAGAATCTAAGTCCCATACACCTGGCAGAGAAACGAGGTCTTTTTCAGCATTCAAGAAGGAAAGAGCTTGCCACTTCTTGCTGTTACTGTATGTCTTCTTCACAATCTCCAGATGAGTTTTCCTGCCTTTCTTTTTGTCCTTTCCCTGGTTCCCCAGAAGAAATCAGAATTCCCTGTGTGGTATTTCAGGTCCTTTCAGGCAGTGGCAGCAGCAGCAGGCTCGAAGAGTAAGTACTGTGTGTGAATGGCAAAAAAAGAGAGAGAGGGTTTCAGACCACGTTAGCTGCCACTGGCTGCAAGAGAGACCATCAAACTCCTGTCAGCCTCCTTAGATACCTCTTGAAGAGCTGGCAAACTAAGTGTATTGGATCCTCCTCTGGATTTTAGAGTAAAGGTAGGCAGGCATCCAGGGGGCAGGGGGAAATAGGAGGGCTTATGGACAGAAAAGGAAGCCCAGCCTCTTGGAAAGAGGGGAAAAAAAAAAACCTCAAACCAACCCAAAAAAAGAAAAGAAAAAAAATACAAAAAAAAATAATACTGCAAAAGGAGAAAGCTGAATGGGGAGTGGGGGATTAAATTTAGCCCTCTGGTTTGGAAGCAAACTGCCTGGAGCACCACAAGTGGTTGAGAGAGAAGAAATAGTTTATGTAATAAAAAGAGAACATGGTTTACACAAACTAAAATAAGATGAAGCTAATTAAGGAACCTGAGCGAAGTATGCGTGTGCCTGCAATGCAGTCAATATCACTGCAGTCTGAGCAGAAACACATTTACCAGGAAGCCCGGAGAGAGCAGCAACAGGAAAGTTTAGGAAAGCCTCTTACATGCTTTCAATAGGCGCTACAGCGAAAGAGGCAGGTGATAGTAAGAGAGCTTGATGAAGAGCAAGGGAGGGAATAAAAGGTTGCTCAACATTAAGAAATGGAGAGCATCTGCTGCGTCAATTACTGATAGGTGATATAAAGGCAAGGGAGGGCATTGGGGGTCAATTTGCTTACAAGCTGTTTGAGGAGAAGTACAGAGCTTGCAAGCTCCTGGTAATGGTAGCAACTGAGCGCTCTAAAACTTTGGGGATGATTCTGTAAGTGAATCCTTGGCATTTTTGGTGATATAATGTGCTTTGATTTATTTTTCTGTGAGGGATGCTGATACCTGAGAGTGGGAGATAAAGCTGTGCTTGGGGGAGGAGGGAATGAGTTTGTTGCTGCAGGCCCACATCGTGGTTTGCAAAGGAGCCAGATGGCAGCTGGGAGGAGGTGGGAAGATGATGGGGTTTTCATAATTGAGAAAACTCTCCTGATTGAAAACCTTATTGTACTTCAATGGTGAAAACTGAGGTTGGGCAGGGATCTTGGGTTTGAAGCTTCTCAGGCTTGCAGGAAGGTCCCAGCTCAGGCTGAGGCTGTCCACACTGTGAGTCCCTTTACCTCCCTGTTCATCACTATTTCAGCTGCTAAGAGATCCCCAAGCGATCAAGGTGGGGTCATCCTGAGCATGGAAGTGTGACTGTGATGGTGCCTGAGTAGTAACTTCTCACAGAGTCTTGGTGAAGGTCTCTCTGTTAAAAGACAGTCAGTATCTCCTGCCCAAGGGCAAGTCTTTGTGCAGGCATTGATGTGGGTGATCAGAGAGGAGTGGGAGACACAGAGGTCAATTGGTTTATAGGTCAAATTATACCAAATCTTAACTGCTTGCTGTCTGAACTGCTGCTCCTGTGGGAAAGGGGGGAAAGGCTTTTAAAACCCCTAGTTCTGAAGGGGTTTCAAAAGGTGGGAAATCCTCTAGATTTTAAGGAGCAGAAAGCTGTTTTCCTAACACAGAGGAGAGCATCACCAGCCTAAAGGAAAGATAAAATTCAAGACTGCCTACAGAGAGGTCTTCGTGCACCCTCCTTGCACCCAAGCCATGCATCTGCCCTTAGCCTCTCTCCCTCTGTTCTCCTTTAATGTTATCTTTAATATCTGCACTTCCCTCACTTCTCCCACTTTTTGCTTTCTGGCTTATGAGATAATAGTATCTCCCCTCTCCATGAATTACTTTGATCCCGTACCTCATTTCAAAGCTTGCTTCCTCAACCATCTCACTTTTAAATGTGAGACTCGGAACCCTTTCCCAGAGTTCATGCCGGCTCGTGAGAGCTGTGCATCCATCATTCTGACAGGTAGTGCTCCCAGATCACAGAGCATGAAGACTCGCTTCTTCCTGTGAGTGCCTTGATCTGTGTTAGAGATTTAAGGCCAGATTTTGATTGTGAATCTCCCCTACGGATCATTCCCCTTTTTCATCAGTGGAGCACTAGGTAATAACTTTAAAACTTTCCTTTAAATGTTAAAACTTAACATAAGGTACCCCTATGTTAAAAGTCAAAAGGGCAGTGAGGGAAAGATTCATGGCCATTAGAAAGGACAGTACATTTACTGCCCCATCTGAAACTCTTGGACTTTAATGGTTTGGGTTGGAAGGGACCTTAAAGCTCATCCAGTTCCAACCCCTGCCATGGGCAGGGACACCTTCTACTAGACCAGGTTGTTCCAAGCCCTGTGTCCAACCTGGCCTTGAACACTGCCAGGGATGGGGCAGCCACAGCTTCTCTGGGCACCCTGTGCCAGTGCCTCAGCATCCTCACAGGGAAGAGCTTCTGCCTAAGAGCTCATCTCAATCTCCCCTCTTTCAGTTTAAAGCCATGCCCCATTGTTCTATGCCTATTTGCCCTCTTATTGGACCCATTAGGTTCTGGAAGCTGCTCTGAGTTCTCCCTGGAGCCTTCTCCAGGCTGAACAAGCCAAGCTCTCTCAGCTGTCTCCATTGGGGAGCTGCTCCAGCCCTCACAGCATCTTTTTGGCCTCTTCTGATTCCCTTCAATAGGTCTACAGCCTTCTTATGTTGGAGACCCCAGAGCTGGATGCAATGCTCCAGTGGGGTCCCACCAGAGCAGAGGGGAAGAATCCCTTCCCTTGACCTGCTGGCCATGCTCCTTTTGATGCAGCCTAGGATATAGTTGGTTTCTGGGCTGTGAGTGCACACTGACAGCTCATGTTGAGCTTCTCATCAACCAACATCCCCAAGTCCTCCTCCTCAGGGCTGTTCTCAATCCATTCTCCATCCAGCTTGTGTTTGTGCTTGCTTCCGCTACCTCATATGCTTTCCAGTGTATAACACTGCTGCCTGTCCATATCACATTTAATTCTCATCTGCTAAGATCAAGCAGGGCCATTCCCTCCTACTTATTGGGCATTGGATCCATTCCAGGGCTGCCACCACCTCCAGTGTTGGGTGGGTTGGGACAGATGGAGACACACAGACTGTACTGGAGCATCACCCATCTCCCCTCTTTGAGATGTCTGCACCAGGCAGCATGGCATAGCTGTAGCAAAGAGAGGGGACTGGGAAAACACACTTCAGATGGGGCATGACAGCTCATGCCTTAGGTAGGACTCAGTATTTCCAGCTGGGGGTAAAAAGAAGTACATAGGCAGGAGCTATAAAGTGTGACCTGACTGATTTTGTTCAGACTCATGTACGTGAGAGACTGAAACATCTCATTCCTTTCTCCCCAAAACATAAAGACCTCTTGGAAAATGTATATGTTTAGTTGCTTTTCTGTGAAATAACTGTGAGCCCTGTGTACCCTCTGCTGCTGCTGTGGTTTGGCAAAGAAAACCCCATCTGAACCTTTGGTGAGCTTAAGCCAGGGAACAGAGAAAATTCCACTTCGGCGCTGACCAGCTAGGAAAATGTGATGCTCCACACAAAGTGGTTTCTTAGCAACTTCAGGAAAGGGGTAGGAACTGCTCAGTACCTGCTGCCTGCCCCAGTTTTTTGTCTGCATCAGGAATGGTTGGAAAAACAGCTAAATATGTTCAGAGAAATTGTGATTCATAAACTGCTCTTGTGTTTGTTTGGTTTTTAAAGCTGAGGAGAGGCCAGGTCAAAGAAAGTCACATAGATAGCCTTTGTTTTCTGTTTAAAGCAGGGAAGCAACAGTAGGAGCTCTTTGAAACACAGGTAACGTGTTGCAAAAGTGCTTACAGTTGGGTAAGGTTTTTACGTGTCATTATGAAGCTCTAAGGAGGTTTGTGTCTATTCCCAGTGAAGTTCAGCCTTTGGGGAGCACAAATATTGGAGCAGAGAACAAAACCCATGGCCAAGGAAGGGTGGATAATAGCTTTGCTGTGAAAACTGTTGAATGCCCAGAATGTGTATGGTGGAAGCAGTCACTGAATGGAAGTGGGCAGAAAAGGGAGAAATAGCAGGCAGAAGAAGGTTGTATCTGTTAAGGTGATAGCTGCTTGCAGTGTTCCTAAAGCAATGAAAGGCTTGGACGGCTTTCCAGCTGAGAAAGGTGGGGGAAAAAGAAATAGAACAAATAGTAAAATAAAGAATAGAACCTCAAACTTTTAAAAAGTTTTGTGCTTTTTTTGTGCTTTTAAGAACTGCACAAATCAAGCTACTTGCTGTTGTGAACTATTGCTGCTTCCCAGTGCAGCCATCTCCCAGCTCTCAGCTCAAAACCTTGTCTTACTCTCAGGATGAACAAGAGAGTTTTATGTCCCTAGAACACTTACATTTATAGAGTGTCCTATTAAAAGCCAATTAGGTACTTACAAGCAAAGCAGCAGGGACATGAAAAAAGGGATGTGGGATCCCAGCTGCTCTGTGCAAAGCCATCCGAGTGTGGTGGTACAAATCTGTGACTTATCCTCAGGAAGAGGCACTGGAGATCTAGTGGTAACCCAAGAGCTTTGAGCTGGTGCCTCAAAAGTACTGTTCATGCTTTAACATGATTGAAGCATTTCTGCTTATGCTTTAAAGAGACATTCCTTGACCAGCCATCGCAGATAATGGTATTTGAGTTCTTGCTGAAGCCCTGGCACTGCATGGAACTGAGGCACGTGGAGGCAAGACAACTTGCTCAAAGCTAGGGGTGAAACCAGTGCCAGAACATCTCCTTTCCCATCCCTATCCCTCTTTTAACGCCAGCGAAGGCTTTGAGCCACTGCAGCAGCTCAGGAGCTTACCCTGCACTGCTAACCTGTCTTCTCTGAAGCAGTGATGGGCAGCGGTGCTCTGTAGGGATGAAGTCGCCACTTAGAAACCTCTGTTGTGCTTTGATCCTGGTGGGAAAAGAACTGGCCAGGTCCCACCTACCTGCCAGCCTGGAGCTCACCTCTGTGCCTGGGAGATGGGGAACAGAGGAAGCAGGATGACAGCCCCATGCCTCCCACAGCGGGAGTGAGATGAGCATCTCTTTGTGCCCTGACTGATGACAGAAAGCAGGTTCTAATTGGGAGGGTGGGGAGAGGGTGAGGTGGCCCCTTTCTGTGCTTCTGCTCAGGTGCTTGACACTCTGCATCCTCTCTGGCTTTCAGCTTGAGCGTGCATGGGAGAGAGATGCTGGGGTTTAGGCTCTGATGTGCACTCACACATACATACACGCTCATATGCATCATTTGGTTGCTTGGTGCTGCTGACACATACACAGCCCTTGCTGCTGCTTCCTCTTGCTACCCAAGGGACAGCTTTGTGTGTCTGGTGTTGAAACTCCTGCTCTAGGAGGAAATCCCTTCAGGGATTGCAGATCCTTGCATCAGCAAGGATTCCCTCCAGTATTTCATGGGCAAAGCCTGAATAGCTGTTGTCCAACTACTGCTGTCAGAATGCCTCAGTGTTGGCTTTGACCCTCGTGTTTGGGTCTTTCACTTTTCCAAGCCAAGATTCCAGGATGGGAAAAGCATGGTGTAGCATACATGTGTCTGTGTCCCATGTCACCATGTCCTAGAGGTTGATTGTATGGTCTTACTTTGGGGTCC